CAGCTTCATTTCAAGGATTCTAACACTAGTATTGGATTATTGACTTATTCATTATAGACACTTGTATATCTAATAAACCACTTTCAGAGACACATTTTGTAAGGACTCTAGGGCTGCACGATTTTTTGGCTTAGAATTGAGATCACGATTCTCTCACGATTTTCTTTTCCAGTATAAATATTTATTGCACTTATTAACTGCACATCAACTTCGTAACAGTTGAGACTGAACATAAAAACAATAAATAAACATAAAAACAACAAATGTCTCACGTTTTGTTGTTGCTCGACACTGTGTGTATAGAGCAGGTAGTGCAACAATAGAAAAATAGTTGCGGGACGGCACTGCGTAGCGTTTGTCTAGCGTGTTGATCATTCTCCTAAATCCCTGGTTTTGCACAATGTTGATGGAGCCATATCTTTGGTCAGGTGATAAGTAACAGCCTCCGTGATTTCTTTGTGCCTGCGGTTCGACGGGTATAGGGAAGTGCTGTATAAGGTTCCCGTTATTGATGTTTGGGTGGTTGACCGGGACGGATTTTCTCCTGTCACTTTCTCGTCATCCCTGACGTGCTCTCCGTTGTTTTTTCCCTGCAGCCAGCTTCTGTATCACGTGGTATAAGCTCCGCCCTCGTCATTTGTTGAGCAGGAAGAGTGAGCGCTTGTTTTCATGCAGATTACGTCCCGGATCAAAATGCGGTACAATTGTTGTTGTCTTTTTAAAAATCGTTGTCAATTGGAAATGAGATCGCACATAAGTATGACTCGAGATCGCGATTTTCTAACGATTAATCGTGCAGCCCTAAAGGACTCCATTACAAATGAAACAGATGAAGTCCAGTTGGACTTGTATTTGGTTTGTTTTTCTGGCATGTGCAGTAAGCGCTCCAAAGTGATGTTGGTACAGTGAGTGAGGCCAGCGTTATGCTGAAAACCCAACATAGATGTTTGAGAGAGCTGGCAACAACCGCAGGAGAGGCCAAGTCAGTAATCTGGTAAATTCTTTAAAAGAAGAAATGCACTTGCAGCGACTCTGAGAAGCCTGCAGGACAGAGGGGTTAAAGTGGGTAATCGCAAAAGTCCTTCCTTGGTTAGGGGACGGCCTGTGTGACATTTATTAAATTCAAGAACACATGGAAGAGGTAGACTGTCAGAATGTAGTGGGAGAGCATCTTACCCACTTTAACACACTGAAGATGCTGCGTCCACATGAACACAATCACCTTTCTGCCATTTCTTTACCTGGACGACTGAGCGTGCAAGAAAATAGAGACGCCTCATAATGTATGTAAATGAATGTGCTGTACCAGGTCACCGGTTTTTGCTGACATTGTAACTGCTGATTGAAATAGCACCAGGAAGCTGTGATGGTGTAAAGTTGGTCACCTGACTCTTGCACGCTTTCAGTTGCAAAACCAAAGGTGGCGTTTTGTGGCGTCCGTGGATTCTACATTAAAGGCAGCGATGGATCTTTTCTGAAAACAGCTGTCAGTCATACAAAGTCACGTCAGTCTCATGTTGACAGTTTGATTTAAAATCCACTGTGATGGTGTTCAAACAGTTGTTTCATGAACGTGTTCACGTGCAGCACCAGAGTCAGCCTGATCATCAGCCATAATATCATTATTTACATTATAAAGTTAATATTATTTTAATTCAAGTTCATTCACATCAGCCTC